GGAAAGAGTTGCCTCTGTGTTGTGGATGAAGGTGGGGAGGAGGTTTGGTAGCAAGCCTGGTGATAAGAAGGGTGATACAGGCTCAAGATGCAAAGCTGGGTGGCGTGGCAGGCAACAATGGTGGCATGGCAAAAGAAAAAAGTGTAGGCAGAAAAGACTGGGGGAAAGCAAGAGGCTCAGAATGGGTATAGCCAGATGCCAGGGAGACTGTCCCCAGGCAGGAGGATTCTGAGGATCTGCAGCCTTCAACAGGGAGCAGAACTTAGGCACTATGAGTAGCTTGCCCTTGGTGGTGTCCATGACACTCAAGAGTCATTAAAGAGCTTTCTCCCTGGTTTTAAAAATATACTTAATTTCAATTAATTTCATCCCCCCAACCAATGTCATCCATAAAACTTTGCAGTGTTTTGGTTTTATATTAGAATTGGAAGAAATACAGCATGATCAGGAGAGAAGGAGGCTTTTCTGGGTAAACATTTTTGCCTCCAAAAAACTGCACACACACGTGTCCATCACAGCACCTCTCTGATTTCTGGGAATGCAGAATATCCACTAACACACTTTTCCAAAAACCTCTGAACACATACACACATCTGTTCACCAAGACTGGTTACTCACATAAGGTTCATTCCTCTTTGATTCTTCCATTAGGGTCAAAAAGTTACTTTTCCTTTTTATATTTCTGTCTCCAAGCCCCATCAGTGGCAAATGCCCAAGCCCTTCGAAAGTGTTCTGACAAATCCCTCCAGAAGGCATGTAACAGCATCCCAGTTTTACAGATGGGGAAATTAAAGCAGAGACAGAGGTTAAGACAGCTAATTGCCTACGGACACTAAGTGAGTCAGTAGGAGAGCTGGGAATTGATCCCAGGAACCATGTCTTCCATTCCTCTACTCCACCCACCAGCCAGTACAGCCTACCAGATGGTTCTTATCATTGGACATATGGACTAAATATTGCTAAGTTGGTGTAGACGATTTGCTATTTAATTAAATGTCCTGTCTTCCATCTCCATAGGATGCACAGGGGAAACTCCAGCCAGAATTCCATCTGGACCCACTCAGGAAATATCTCCATAAAGTAATCCAAGCCCTAGGCAAGCACAAGAAATGTTCCCAAACCTATCAACCTGCCTTACACCACAGACCCCAATGAGTCCAGGAAGCAGATTAGAACTCAGAAGCCTCAGAAGAAGCTATTTGTCAAACCCTGGCTTCAAATGGTGCATGCATGAGCCACCAATCAGGCCGGGAACTACTTCGTCATGTGAAGCCTCTTGCTCCAACCTTGACTGGGCACCACCAACGCTGCCCAACTAGCAGAATCACAAAAAGCAGATGGCACAGTCATCTACTTTCTTCTGGCATTAGCTCTACCACATCACAGGGCTGGTGTTGACAGGACAGAGAAACCAGTTCTGCCTGGCAAACAGACGCCTTCTCACTTTCCAATCACTACCAAGGACATTTGAAATAGTTCCTGAACTGGTTATTCATGATGCAGAGAAGGAAACTTTCCAATAGAGAGGCAACAGAAAGATTTTCCACATTGCTGAAAGACAGGTCAGCAACTGTTTTCCCAGCTTGGACCTTACAAATGTACAGCAGCATCTCGGTCCCCACCACAGACAGGCACACAATGGATGCACCTGCCTTTCCAACAAACCAAACCAATTTTAACATCTTTCTGTTCCCCCTTCACACCCAGTACCACACAAGGGGAATCCCAGGCATCATCAGGTCCCTAAAAAGGGATTTCATCTAAGAACATGCTCTTCTGCATACAACATCCTCAACACACAGCTGGAGGGCAGAAGCTCAGAGCTCCTCTGGGCAACCTGTAGATGCAGGTGAGGAAAGCACATGCACACTTCTGCCCAGCAGAAGCACATACCAGTGAGAAGCCCCAGCCTGTGTATCTCCATTACTCTCTTGGCAAACAGAAGAGAGCTGGGCAGCATTATCTTGAGGAGGCTTTGCACCAATACTGACAACATAGGAATAAAACCACAACACCTTTCCACGTGTGCTATAAGAGCCGGGCAATCCTGGAAGGTGCCTCCTGCTAGAGACAAGTGGCTGCACGTACCTTTCATCCCAAACTTGGACCGTCGGCCGTACTTGTTGATCATGATAAAGAGGACGACCAAGAGGACACAAGCAAAAGCTGCCAGCCCAACCGCTATGGAAACCTGAAAGGAAAGAGTCTTAGAGTCAAGACAGGATTTTAGGAGTCTAAATTGGAAATACAGCACCTCCTTGCCCAGTTAACCTTTCTGTAGGCTCATAGCAATCTGGTGCACCCTCTGGATATCAGCTGTGGAGGAAAATACAAGCAAAAGCAAAGGACTCTGGTGCAGCTTGGAAGCATCACAGGCTGTTTGCAGAACTGGGAGGTTTGGGATCTCCCTACCAGCAATGCTGTTCTGGCACCAGTTCTCCCAGCTCTTCACTCCATAAATCTGCAGGGAAGAATCACCTCTGCTCCAACGCCTGGGCCCAACCTTCACTGCACAACAGCACAATCCTCTGTTTGTGACATTACCACTGTGCCACGATATCACAACACTAAGGCTACACTAACCTTAGCTGGGAACACACAGGAGCAGCACAAAATTCTTTAGAAAGAGCAAGTCTGTCTCCCTCCCAGCACCCCTCAGGGCAAAGAATGAGGGAAAACAACACACCACAAAAAGAAAATGGGAGAAATTAATAGAAATGTTTTGTGTTGTTTGAGGTGGGTTTTGTTTTGTTTTCCCCCCCAAAAAATGATTTGTTTTTCCTAAAGCCTCTAACAGTTCCCTATTTATTCTCATTTTTAGCTGTAAATATTTATGCTACAACAGTGTCCAAAGTCCTTCACTGGAACTGTGTTTCCACTGTGTCAGTGTACAAGCAGAGGAAAGAAAACCTCCTTGCCCTAAAGGGTTTACAATCCCAAGCTTATTTTAATATTTATGAATATTTATTCCTTCAAGTCTTTGCTAGAGATACTTTTATTGCATTGATGTAAACAACAATTTCTTTGGCATTTGTCCAATTTTCTCCTGCACTGGGTCTTGTGATGCATTTAGACTTTGCTTCCTTTTACAAAACTGTGTTCTGCTCTAATAGAAAATACATCATTTAACCAGGGAAAAGTAATTTCATTTCACAACCCTTTCCTTGCCCTTGATACATTAGCTACAATATTCTTAAATCTTTTATTTCACCACACTCTATTTTCATCCCCGCCTTGTTTGCTGTGTATTATATTTTATAATCAGTGCACATTATTACTCCAGTCTCACTGTTCAAACTTTCACTTCAGTTATAGGAGACTCATTTGGATGAGAACAGAAACCAGGGTGAATTGAGTTTTGTTCATTCTGTGAACACCTGGTGGGTTTCAAGATCTTAAAATTTGTACAGAATTAGAGTGATTGTGTAGCATTCTATTTTTATCCACCAACACTTCCACACTTATTTTTCTACCTGGATTCCACAGAAGGAAGACAATGCTGAGATCTGATAAGCCCCAGGCTTCTTTCCCATTTCATTTTTGGCATGTCCTGCAGAGCAGGAGAGAGGGCAGCCTGGCATGGACAGAATTGAACTAAGCTAAATCTGAGTCTTCTCACAGAGCAAAATTTAACACCTCAATAACAGTCTGAAAAACTCAATTGCCTGTTTTGTTTGTTCACTGGGTGCTGCTTTCTTAGAGTGAGAATTTCTGACTCTGCCAGCAGCAACTTCACAGGGTGTCTTCTTTTCAAAGAGCTCCCAGGTTCCACACCGCAGACCCAAGAGGATCAGACAGTTCATGTCAGTATTTTACTTGCCTGACACAAGCCTCAAAATCCTCCTGATTGTTGTCTTGAGTCATAAAGGAAGAGATTTTCCTTGAAAACACCTCAAAGCAGCCGAGGAATGTAAATACTGAGTCATCAACAAGAAATGCATGCAAAACAGCTCTGCAGAGAAGAGGACAGGACTCACCCCAAAAGTGTCCTCCTCTGGTTTGTGGGTCACAGTGATTGGTGGGGTGGGACTCACTTCATAATCACCGACTGAAACCAAAACACCAAAGACAGAAGATTCAGCGTGGCTCCCATGGGACTCCCAGGCATTAGCACATCCCCAGTGGCAGGGCCTGAACTAATGAAATATCCACTTCACTCCTAACAGAGGCTGCAACCTTCAATTTCAAAAGGCACCAAAATCAACTGTCAGAGAGTTCCCTGTGCACATCACCAGAGAAAAAAGACAAGAGCAATGCTGACATCACTCCAGCCTTATAAATGAGAAACATTTGAGTGCCTGGTGCTTTATGGTGGAAACTTCCACCCCAGCCCTTCTCCTAGTTTTCAGAAGTCTACTGGGCTAAATAGGGTTAAATCATGAGATGACTCCAGCAGAACTTGATCCAAATAAATAGTTACTTGGATGTTTTTCAAAGTAAAAAAACACAACACAACAAAACACCCAAAAAACCCAAAACAATAAAAAAGATTCTGTTGAGCAAACATGACAGAAGTTGAATCCTGTTTCTCATCTTTGTCCACACTACAGAGAAAGTTGTAAATGGGCTATCCACAAGTATTTGGTGAATTGGACACCTTGCATCTAAGACTCCTGCTACACCACAACCAACCAGGTAGAGATTCATTGATATTTATCTCCAGCCCTCACATTTAAGACCCTAAAGACTAATTTGCACGATAGGACCTTCTTCAGGATGTCACTACAGCATCTCTTGGGGTCTTGAGACTGCCCAGCTGATACACCCTCCCTGGAAGTGTTTAAAGCCAGGTTGGACAGAGCTTTGAACAACATGGTCTAGTGGAAGGTGTCCCTGTCCATGCAGGGGAGCTGGAACTAGATTATCTTAAAGGTCCCTCCCAACCCAAACCATTCTATGATTCTATTAAAAGCTCCCCAGCAATCTTGCTCATGCATGAGGAAGCCAGGAACCAGTCTATTTGTGCAGCCTCCCTCAACCTGCTTTTGGCTTCCTGATTTTTCCTTCAGGAGCACAAAAGTCACAGAAGTGCAGAAGGAGTGACAAAAACCAAGAACAACCCAGACTAGGCAAAGGGCAAGGAGACACTTACTTGATACAAAGTTGTCCGTACTCTCTGCAGAAAGGACAAAGAGAAGCAGGAGTTAGCAGCATGGCAAAGGGAGGATTCTCATTTCCAATCCATCTCAGACACACCCCACCACCCCAAAGAGCCCAGGAAGCAAAAGCATTTTGTATTTTGTCCTGTTGGGCAACTGTAACTGGAAATTGTAGCACATGTCCCAGCAGGACATTCCTGAGGTCAAGACGGAGTGTGCAGGGGTAACTGTGCAGGGCTGAAGCAGGAGCAGAGAGATGCTACTGCCAAAACAGAGAACAATGAGCAGCACCCTATGTGGAGACTTCTGAACAGTTGTTAAATAACCCTTCTTTCAGCAGGTGAGCAAAAATCAACACATGGGCTAAGCAGGATAGAGGTGGAGGGGAAAGAAGCAGAATTTGCCCAGGGAGAAAGTCCTATGGGGATGAGGACCAGCTCCCAGGAACACAGTCCACCTTGGAACAGAGGGCTAGAGACCTCCTCTGGGCTCCCTCCATAGCTTACTGAGCCACTCATGAAAGCTAACAGCATCCGAACTGAATATGGAGGCTGTAGCTGTCCCAGAGATGCTTCTTGCCTGAGACAGCCACACCAGTCCCTGCTGTCAGCCTCCTGGCTGCTCCACTCTATTCAGTACAGCTCCTTCAGCTCTGAAGGCATCTGAGGCCCCAGACAATGATGTCTAAAGCTCTCTGTGACACTCAGTTTACATAGCATGAGAACAACATCAGCTTTCAATTCACTTGCCCATGTAAGAAACTGAGCCAAATATTAACTGGAGTTTACACAGCTTTGCTGGCAGAGGGACTTCTGGAAGGAGATGGAAATGTTCACGGGTGAGGTTTGGACAGAAGTGTAAAACAACCCCTGGGTGACAAACTCAGCTTTCCAAACCAAGGGAAAAATCTGAAAAAATATTTTTTTTTTCAAGTCAAGCAGAAGGATAACTTTCCTTGGCTTCTTCTAGCAAGAGAAAATGAATAAGTATTTCATCTGGAGTATTTTTTGTTTCTTATTAAAGCGGAGAGAGTCTATTTGTAGAATTCTTGCTACTTCTCCATTTTCTCCTTTCCATTTTTCTCTGCTGAACTAGGAAAATTGAATGGAAACCCATAAAAAGTTTTTTCCCACTAAACCCTATTTTTCAAGTATAAAACTGTCAGGGAATTTCAGCCATCTTGAATTCTGTGAGAAGCTCCCTAAGAACTGAACATTCATCAAGGAAGCGAGGTAGGTCCACTAAACTTTGTGGGTTAAATAAGGAGATGGTAGCCCATGGTAGAGATGCCAATAACAACATAAGATGAGATTTTTTTTCAGTAGATGACAAATCTGTCCTGGGATCCACTGCCCTGACTCCTAGAGTCACAGCATCACAGAGAAGCAGAATACGGCATGGGATGTATCTCCCAGCTCCCATCCAGCTTCTCATAGCACCTTTTTCCTCTCCACCTGGAAAACACAGCCTGGAACCATACCAGTAAGAGGCTGCAGACCAGGGATTTCTAAAAAAAAAAAAAAGCCACAACATGGTCACAGGTCCTTCTCTACACTGATACAAATTTTTCCAGCCACTATACTTTCATTAATCAAGCCTAACAATCTCATCCTGGGTAGTGTCAACAAAACCCTTGCACGTGTGAGTATCTATAGGCAAGAAGTGTCTTGAATAAACCACACTGGAAAACCTTCAATTTGTGGCGTTTTCTGCAGGAATCTACCTTCAGATGGGAATTTATAAATGTCAGGTGCATTGAGTGTTAATGTCAGCTTTGGTGGTGGACAGAGCAACAAACTTCAAGGAAAGTAAATTACAATCTGCATTGGGCTGACAGGGTCTTCCAGGATGAGGAACAGCTTGGGTCTTCAGATCAGAAGAAATATAAGAAATGG